ATCTTACCTCTCATGGAGTATGCTCCATGCAACACCCCATAGGTGCTCCAGGGCAACCCAAGTGGGCATTGACAATAAAGAGGATAATCAAGAACGCTCCAAACCACATGCACCTACGACCAGCCAGGAAGCAGACAGCTGGTCCATAACCTGCATTTTCTCAATCCTGTTTTTGGAGGAGACTTCACAACACATACTCACCCCAGAAGGCTATGTAGGCTAGGCATCCCCTCTATTTAAGACTTGTGGGCCTAATGACTGAACTCATGATACAGAAGCATAAGCAGGAAAAAGCACTGTGTACAGCCCAGAGGCCTCTGATGTTTCATGGCTCTAAAGGTGGGGGAAGGGTGCTTTTTTTTTTTAATAGGCGTATCCTTTTACACCGCAGAACCCCAAGACTTTGGGGTGTAGGTGGAACATGACCGTCACCAGACCATGTCTCCCTCCCACTTCCCCACCCAGCACCACCACAGAGCAGACTACTACAGCCAGTGCTTCACAAATGCTTGGTGCCCACTGCTTCCCCTCCACTGAAATCTTTGGTAACACAGCTAACGCGGTCACCTAGTGCTAAAGCAAATTTCTTCCTTTTTCTTTTTTTTCTTTTTTTTTCTTCTTTACTTCCTTTTTCTGAACCTCTCCCCTTCGTTCTCCTGCCCACAGTTCACCAGACTTTGAAAAACATGAAGTTAGAATTCCCACAACTTCCCCCACAAACCCCATCTTATCTTCTCATCTGTCCAGAACGTCTGGTGGGCACACCTGTAGCCAGCTACCCCCATCCTCCCGGATGACACCAGCCCTCGGCTCCTGGGAAGCCTTCGGAACAGCTCAGGACCAAAAGGCCCCACCACAACTGGTTTCCAAGGGCCATCAGCTGTGACGTCTATGTCCAGCAAGAACACGAGAACAATACCAGAGTTTCCCTCTCTCCTGGATTCCACACTACAGACTGCCCCAACCTCGAGGCAGCCACACTTGAGACAAAAATGAACAGTCCTCTTCCTGTGTTCAGCCACGCCCCTGCCACCAGACTCTTAAACTGATCAGCCCTGAGCAAATGACACTCATTTCCCTCCCACGCCTCTCCAGGGCCTTCACCTTTGAATCAGAAACCCGACCCCTTAGCTTTAGCTGTGATTTACATCATACTCTCAGATACCCTTACCATGACTGTCAGTAAACAACTTTTTAAGAAATTTTCTAAAAGATTTTGGTTGGGGGGCGGGGCATAAGCAGGTGGCAGTGGGGAAGGCAGAAGGAGAGGGAGAAACAGACTCCCCCACTGAGCAGGGGAGCCTAACCCAGGGCTCAATCCCAGGACCCCAAGCTCATGACCTGAGCTAAAGGCAGAGGCTTCACTGACCCAGGAGCCGCAGTCATTAAACAACTTTTGTGTCATTTTGTGCAGTTCTTTAAATACTGTCCACACCTATCCTGCCATGAGGACATGAACCCCCCCATCAGTCTTGTCAACTGCAATACACCCCATGCTAGGCCAATCCCCGGGCACAGAAGAGGCTCTATGTGAATGTCTGTTAAATGAAGGAGTGAATGAAAAGCAAAAGCTCCCCCACCAGTCTTAGAAACAGCCCCTATTTACCATGGCTAAATGGCAACCTACATCAGCTTGCCAAATTATTTATTTTATTGATGTGAAATGAAATAAATAATATCAGGTGGGTAAAAGCTCCAATTCCTTTTCAGCTGAGTTCCCTAAGTATTGAGCATAAGGAAAAATTCAGATAGATAAGGCCCAGCACTTTCCGCACTAGGAACGAAAAAGGGAGAAAAATGACTTGCCTTCACAAAGGAAAAGCAAAAATAGGCCAAGATAAGACAAGGAAATTATACAAGAAAATGAAGCCTCATCAGGACATCCCAGCACTACAGGGCCCTGAGCTGTGCACACAGACTTCTCGTCAGCACCAAAGCTTCCCCAACACACACGCCCAAAATGAGTTGCAAAAATGGGCCAGCGCCCACAGCTACTTTCTCTAGACTCACTCCCCAACATATATGGGGACTTCTACCAATGCCTGAAATCTAGAACTTACTGAACCAAATGTCCTGACCCATTTTAAAAAACATTCTGCACACAGAAACCTGGAGAGAAGAAAGTGCAGACAAGACATCATGAATAACACGAAAGCCACATTACTAATCTACTGGGGTCCCTCTTTTCAGAGAAAAATCCTCCACCCCGCAACCACTCCCAAAGAAAATCAGTGTAAATCTTTTCCACCTTTACTTGTGACATTTTAAACAATTAAGAAAACAAAGATAAGGATAAGAATATCCAGCCTACCACAGCTGAGGAAGAGGATTTCTCATAGCACTCACTTCTCTAAAACACAAACCAGGTCTACTTTTAAACACCTGAAGAATGGATTCTGCGGTCCATCGGGGCAAGAGGCTGGCCATCACAAACAGCCATAGCCAAGTCCATGACACTGGGCCACTCCCAAACTTTTGTCTCCTCCCCACGAAGCAACATTATAGAAAAAAGGCAAAGCTACTCAACTCTGACCTCTATTCCAGGTGGGCTTACATTGCTTACAGTGTTGTCCAAGGCCACAGGACGGTTGAAAATTAATATCTAAAAATTCTGATGTTTTTCGAGTTTCTTTTGACTTTTGCATGTGGCAGGATCCCCTTGTTTCTGAAGGAACACTGATCATTACAGCCCACTACATACTTTGCACCATATACTTCACATGCTGACTTAGAAGTGTCTACTGTATGGCAAAAGCTCCCTGTATGCATGTACGCAGATTAAGGAGCCCCAAGTCAGGAACAGGAACGAAGATTGCACCTAATAGAATAAGGCCACAACTTCTTTCCTGTAAATTCTAACTTCGAAGAGTATTGCATCATCCTCATGATCAATCTACTTCCAGTTGTCTCCAAGACCTCTACACTTTGCACGGAGTAATGAAGATGTCCAAAAATTTTACAAGTGGAAACTGGAGAAATGAAATGTCCGAAGATTTTACAAGTGGAAAATAAACGTAGGTAATAACAAAAGCATTCAATGACAAATCTATGGTTGAATAATGTGTTGTTTTCTGGCTTTTTTTTTTGTTTGTTTGTTTGTTTTTTAACAGAACACAGGCACTTGAAACCACTCACTACTCAGGGAAATTTTTTTTTTTTAAATGTTCAGAAGTAAACATGTTATCGGGCTATCAAATCTCTGTCATTCCGTGTTCTACAAAAAGGGTGCCTTTCCATCACATATTTCTCATAAATCACAGAATTTTACTTTTTAAATATTTTAAAAGCTGAAATATTTCTTTTCTTAAAAAATGATCAATCCAAAACTCCTGAAGTTGAAAGAACAGTCCCTAAAACTTTTCTGTCGGTTCATTCTTCCAAATTAAGTGGAAAGTACCTGGTTTTTTTCCTATTTCTTCCCTTCTCCCTTTTGTGCAGGTAGTTATTTGTTAGGCTATAAGAAAATACTATTCAGACAACTTGTTGGTATTAATCCTGTACGAAAAGTGGCAAACCACTACTGTAGACTATGGTTATTAGATGTATTTCAGTCTGATGTGAACGGTAAAGACTAAGAACCTGTAACTCCTTCCTTTATTCACACACACACACACACACACACACACACGCTCCCTCACACAATCACACTGTGGCTGCCAAGCCATGAATCAGGCTAAGATGCCTCAACCTCTGGGTGTGTTTGGGTGGTAGACATAAGTGACCTTCTTTTCTGTGTTCTTTTCAACTTTATAATACACATACATAATTCTATAATTAAAAGTTTTAAACCTGAAACTACTAACACTAAGGAATCTCCAGACAGGCACCCCAAATACTATTTCAACTTAAAGCTACTTGGACAGCTAACATCTCCAAAGTAATGGCTCGGGGAACATGGTCAAAGAAGAAAACATACCTGTAAGCAAGAAATCCTCAAAGTAAAGAATGTAAAGTCTAACAAGCCTCACTTCATTTTTCTGTTATTTCCCTTAAATATCACACTCATTCTAATCAAATAACTTTGCCCTACTGATTTTTTTTCTTTTTTTTTGAGGAAGGAAGGCTATGGTGCATTGCCTCAGGGATTAACATCTGCAATTTATCGTCTCAAACAGGATTGCTTTCCACATTTCAGAAGGGGCTGTTACCATGCCCGAGGCAGCATGTCAAAACTTGGCCATACGCAGCAGTGCCATCCCCAAGGGACCCGAAGGGAGAAATTAACGGGAACCCAATTTTCAGGACTTCTTGGGCTGCAGACGCCACCCAATATTGCTGGGGTGACTGCAAGGGAAGGGAGCGTAAAGGAGTCAAAAATGGAAAAGTTACTACTTGCAGACTGTTGGGCAACAGGGCGCCGGTCACCGTTACAGCGGCGGGGCAAGCCCCCCGCGGCCCCTCCTTTGTCTGGCCAGGCCCGGGCTCGCGGCGGCCCCGCAGCCGGCTGCGACCCCCCCCCCGGGGCGCGCCCGCAAAGCGCGGGGCCGACGGGGCGCCGGGGGCTCGGCATCTGGCCGCGCATCCCGCCGCAGGCAGGCAGGCAGGCAGGCAGGCGGGCGGGCGGGCAGGCGGGCGGCGGCGGGCGGGCGGGCAGGGTCTCTCCATTTTCAGGGCCGACGAGGCAACAATAAGCCGAGCTGAGCGGCCGCCCGGGCTCCCCTTCCTCGCGGCGCCCCCCGCCCCCCCGCGCCCCTCGGGCCGGGGGCCACGCGCCGACCCCGCCCCGGCCCGGCCCCGCCCCCGGGCCCCCCGCGGGCTTCCCGCACGCCCGTCGCCCGTCGCCCGGCGCCCGGCGCGTGTCCGTCCTCCGGCGCACGCAGGGACCCCCGCCCCACCGCCCACGCCGCGCGGGCGCCGGGCGCGGGGAGGGGACGCGGCCGCCGTCTCCGCCCGGGTCCCTCGGGCCGGGGGTCGGGGCTGCGCGGTCTCCCCGGGGCGGGCACCCGCCTCCCCGAGCTCCCAGTCTTTGTGTGCAAAGTAAGTGCGGGCGGCGAACCTACCTCGGCGCGCTCACAAAGGCGCGCGGCTCCCTCCCCGGCGCTCGCTGCGGGCGGCCGCGGCGGCGCCCAGCGGCCCGGCTTCTCAGGGCGGCCCCGAGGCGGCGCGGGCGGCGGCTCCGACTGCGGCGCGGCCCGTCCGGCGCAGGGCGGCTCTTTCACACCCCGCGGCCCCGCGCGTCCGAATTAAGCGGCGGGGCGGGGCGGGGGCGTGCGGGGGCGGGGGCGTGCGGGGGCGGGGCGGGCGGCGGAAGCCCCGCCCCCGGCCCCGCCCTGCCCCGCCGCGCCGCGCCGCGCCGCGCTGACTGCGGGCTCGGCGCTCGGGACTCGCGGCGGCCCCGAGGGGAGCGCGCCCCCGGCCCCGCGGGACCTCGGAGAGAGTCCGAGGATTCGGTTCCGGGAGGCTTCCCTTCCGCTGTTTGGGTCCGGTTGGCTTCAGGCACTTGCAAAGAAGAGAGGCAATGTTGGAAGGAAAAGAAACCCTAAGTGTCACCAGATGAGAGAGCAATGGGGACTCGAAGGTGGCGGGAGTAGGGTCAGGAAGCCCACAGTGAAAGACCTTTCTCTCCCCGTCTCCGTCTCCGTCTCCGTCTCTCTCACGTGCTGGGCTGGTGGGTGTCCGGCCTCCAGCCCCAATCCATGCTTGTGAGGCTTAGCGAGGCTGTCCCCAATGAAATCCTGAAACTACGTCACAGGAGAAAACTCAAAAGGAATCAAGGAGGAAGAGGAAGCAGATTTGTACTAATTGTATAAATTTACTGTCAAACCAGGACTTCGAACCCAGTGACCTGGAAGTTTACTCCTGTTCCTTCCCTGTCCCCACTCACCAGAGTCATTGGGGATTTAATTTGTGCGCCAGGAGGAAAGGTTTGTCTCACCTCCTTTTTACCCCCTCTCTGATTTTCCTTATTTACAGCTCTCGTACGGTAAATTGCTTCTCTGCCCAACGCTAAAACTCTCAGATTACCATGTACCTGAATCAGGACATAGAACAAAAAAGAGAAATATCGAATTCAGAGTAGCAAAGGAGGACAGCAGGTTGGTGGATTTTAGATCAAAACCTTTTTAATTTTCTTGGCAACAGATGAATGAGGTGTTTTGTTTTGTTTTGTTTTTTAATTGGGAAATTTTTCTGACTAAAACAGCTTGGGTCATTATCACAAAGAACAGTCATATCAATTACGGATTTTGGTAAACGAATAACTTAACTCCAAAGATGCTCTAAAGCCACAAGCCCTAAATGGCCTGACCAGCCCTCCCTGAAGCCCACTGAGGGGTGGAATCACTTGATACAGGATTTAGAGAGAAAGCAGCTCCTTCCCAGCCCGAGAAACTGCCCTATGTGAACTTTATCCATAGTGTTTCCTACATATCTTTCTTTTCTCCCAGTCCTTGCATTGTATTGTTTCTGTAACTAACAAAGGGTCTACCAGTCGCCAAACCAGAACCTGAGATCCGTCCCAGGATCCTAGGACCTGGGAGCCAATCCCAAGTCCTAGGAATCCTGCAGGAGGCCTAGATGCCCACCTCTCCATCCCACTAACACTGCCATAGTTGGCCTTTGGTGTCAGTCATCACACTGGCCTCCCAACTGACCCCAGCTTCCAGTCACACACAATTTTTTCCTCCAAACTGCTTCTCAGTGAACTTCCCAAGTGCAAATCTGCTCAGGTTAAAACCCTTCAACAAATACCCAATTCCTACTACATAATCAAGTCCAAGCCCCTTGCTATAGTACCCCATAAGGTAGTATACTTTTTGATATCACCTGACCTCTCCCGTGTGTCCTTCTTACATCCCCCAGACAACCACAGAGCCTCACTCAACCAGAGTGCTACATTTGCTGAATGACCCTGCTCTGTGAATATAAGGACTGGAGGAAGAGCCTGTTATGCTCTTCCACACACCTCCCCTCTGCCTAGCATACCTTCACCCCACTCCACCCCCCAAGGTTCCTCTCCTCTCTGAGGCCCAGGTTCCTCTGAAAAGACTTCCCTCATTTGCTCAAACTGGATGGACCTTCTCTCCCATCTCATGCCTGGCACAGCCTGGTAATTATTGTGCTTTACAGTAAATATATGTCCTCCTTTTTTAAAAAAAAGATTTTATTTATTTATTCAAAGGTTTGTCTTTGAAAAAAAAAGGAGACACAGAGAGAGAAGCAGAGATGTAGGCAGAGGGGAGGCTCCTCTTGGGGAGCCTGATGCAAGACTCCATCCCAAGACACTGGGATACTGCCCTGAGCCAAAGGCAGATGCTCAACCACTGAGCCACCGAGGCAATCCAATATATGTCCTCCGTGAACTGAGTTTATGCTTGATACATGTATCTTTACACCCTCATGCTTAACATAGTTAGGAACTGAATTGTGTTCCCTCCCCCCCCCAACAAATTCATATGTTGAAACCCTAACCCTCAATGTGACTATATTTGGAGACAAGGCCTTCAGGGAAGTAATTAAGGTTAAATGAAGTCATAAAGGTAGGGACCTAATCTGGTAGAACTGGTGACATTACAAGAAGAGGAAGAGACACTAGAGACTTCTCAGAGAAGAGGTCATGTGAGGACATAGCCAAAAAAAAGCAACCATGTGCAAGCCAAGAAGAAGCCTCATCAGAAACCAACCCTGCCAGCATCTTACTCATGGACATCCAGCCTCCAGAACTGTGAGAAAATAAATGTTGTTTAAGCCACTATCATGGCAGCCTGAGCATGCATTAAATTCTAGATTCTAACTAACCTTGGAAAAGCACTAACCCACCAGTGAGCCTGTAATGTCCCCTTCTAGCAGCCTGAAGCAAACTTCTAAGATGCTAGGACAGCGGGTAGAGTGTCTGGATGTGAGAAGCGACCACATAGCATTTCCTCTGCCCTCTGAGAGGAATATGTAGCTCATTCCATAGCCTGGGGTATAAATGCCCACAGATTCTTAGCCATCACTAAGATACAAGCCTACTCTTGTATCACAAAACATAATTTAAACAAAAACAGTAAGAGGCGATGAAATATATCTTTGAACTTCTTGAGTCAAAGCCTTCTTAAAAGAAAAGACACCAATACCCACTTACTGAATCTACTGTTTTGGGCTGAATATTTCACATTCTGGGAACCTTAGGGGAATTTTAATCCAGGTAGGATCAAGTACCCAGTTTGGTTTGGGGCTCCTATGGATAGAGCTCAGAAGTAAGAACTTTAAGGTTAAGAACTAGAGTGATATTTATATTTGTACCCATACCATCTACCAACAGTGCCCAGAATATAGTGGGTGCATGGTAGATGTTTGTAGAATGAATACATTTAGATTTTCAGGGCACTAGTAGACTTCCCAGGGTTATGCCAGGTCACACCAACTCTCAGCCCAGGTATGATGTTCTACAGATTCCACATTCTGCATGTGGACAGGACTCCAAGAAATGTCAGTGGCCTAGGCACCTCCTGTGCTCTGCTTGGGTTTCTTGCTCCTGGGATGACACGGATTATCAGGTGACAGACATCAAGGGCCTTGCACTTGCTTTCTTTTTTTTTTTTTTTAATATTTTATTTATGTATTCATGAGAGACAGAGAGAGAGGCAGAGACGCAGGCAGAGGGAGAAGCAGGCTCCATGTAGGGAGCCCGTCACGGGACTCAATCTGGGTCTCCAGGATCAGGCCCTGGGCTGAAGGCCGTGCTAAACCGCTAAGCCACCGGGGCTGCCCCACTTGCTTTCTCCAAATACAATATAAAGAAAATACTCCTCTGAAGGGTTGAGTCACTTAATATGTTGATCATAGAGTCCCTAACCTGACATTACTAGAAAACATGAATGATAATTTCCTATCCTATAACACTTACCCACAAGGTCGCCCATGCACTCAACTTTAACCTCATTGTTGCTTTCACATCTAGAGGCCTTTTAAAGTTATTCCTAAGGAAAACTGAAGAAAGCAGTGATGAACGTCTGGGGCATGAAGTAAAACAACGCAAATCAATTTGGAATAAGATGTTCTTTAGCTCCTACTTTGGTCACTTTTCCCTATGTATACTCTTGAAATTGTTCCTTCATGCCCTACCTATTGTCCTGAAGAGCTCCAGAGAGATGAGAAAGGTTTCACAGTGCTGTGAAGGCTGGAAATTCATTTTGTGTGTATACTCTTTTGTATCTTAAATTTTGTACTGTGTATGTGGACATTCAAATAGATAATCCATTAAAAAAGAAATAAAATTTTAGGGGCACCTGGGTGGCCCAGTTGTAAGCATCCAACTCTTGGTTTCAGCTCAAGTTGTGATCTCCCCATTGGAAGACCAAGCCCTTGTCAGGCTCCACATTCGGCGAGGAATCTTGTTTTCCTTTCTCCCTCCGCCTCTCTCTCTCTCCCCCCCCTTTCTCAATCTCTCCCTGAAATAAATAAATCTTTAAAAAAATAAAATTTTAATTTTAAAATAGTATTGTAAAAGTCATGTTCTTTAATATCTGTATCAGTGAACGATTACTGTAGAATAAATTACCTCAAAACTTAGTAGATAAGAATGAATGATTTGCTCACAATGCTCAGGTCTGGCAACGTGGACCACACTCAGCTGGGATTAGCTTCTTTCTGCTCCGTTTGGTTTTAGCCAGGCTCTGTCACGTGTTTGACGTCCGTTGGGAGGCCTGCCAGGGCCCAGCATGTCCCCAGTGGGCTCAAAGTCCAGATGTTACCTAGAGCTGTTACATGGGTGCCTCAGATGCCCTCCACACAGCCTCTCAGCAGGATCCCTGAGACTTCCTCACGGGGCAGCTGTGTCCAAGAGGGTGAAAGAGGAAGCAGTAGGGCCCCAGGAGGTCTAGCCGCCAGGTCATTCTGTGACATTCTAGCATTCAAAAATAGCACAGAGTCAGCCCTAATCCGAGGTTCAGGGAAATAGCCCCCACCCCTTGATGGTAAAAGCAGTGGTCACATTACATAGGGACCTGAGCACCCAGATCCAAGGATAGGAGGAATTGTGGCAGTCATCCCTGCAAAGAATCTTCCCCCAAGTTGGAGTTGAGGAACCAGAGTGGAGGGTAACTGTGACAACTGAGAATGGTAGTCTCAAGGGATATCATTCGATTTATAAACAAGTCAAAAGCCACCTGCAATTGAACATAAAGCTCATATAACATAATAACAGGTTCCATAAATTGGTACTGGCT